ACATTTTTTTTTTTTTTTTTTAATTGGGTTATATTACATTTTTACATGCACACCAAAAAGCAATGCAGATTTATTTATTTTTTTTTGTGTGTGAAAATTGCAGCCATTTAATGTTTCCTCTTCCTTTCATTTTTTTTCCCAGCATCCTTTGTTTGCTCTTTCCTCTTACTGTTTTGTTTTTTTTTATTTTATTTTTTTTTTTGCTCCATTTAATCTATAATTCCCTCTCAGACCTTTATTCTATAATCGACTCTTAAAGGGTTAGTTCATCCAAAAATGAAAATTAGCTTGTTTTACTTACCCTCGAAGCATCCTAGGTGTATATGACTTTCTTCTTTAAGACGAATACAATCGGAGTTGTATAAAGCGCGCGCATTCATAAAACGTGCCGCAGACAGCTCTGGGGGATGAATAAAGGCCCCTTGTAGCGAATCCATGAGTTTTTGTAAGAAAAATATCCATATTTCAAATGTAATAAACACTTTTCTCTCACTTCCGTTATCTGTCATACGCGGATCCGTTCCGGCGGAAGGCGTATGACGTATGCGCAGCGCACGCGCCTCTGAGATATGCTAGTCTCACGAGTTTGATAGGAGCAAAGGAAGCAAAGTTTTCTTACTTTAGCAAAGGAAAACCAGTCTCCTCTTGGCTTATATCGAAATCCTCCGACATTTTTCTTTGCAAATCTTCGGTTTGTACTTCTAATTCGTGACCTTTGTTTTGTTCTCTCTCCGCATTCGTCACTAATCACGCAATGACTCCCACGCGTTTACACGCGTCTTACGTCATCCGCCGGAACTGCTTCAGTGTATGACAGTCAGCGGAAGTGAGAGAAAAGTGTTTATTACAAACACAAGCTAATTTTCATTTTTGGGTGAACTAACACTTTAATTAATCAGCTTGATCTTTGCTCTTGAACGCTTGGACATCAGTCCAGCTTATTCACATTATATCTCTTAATGTGGAGAGGGGTGGCGCTGATGCCACTGGCAATGTGTGTGTGCCGAGAGAGAGAAACAGAGTGAGAGGAGGAGAGAAAAGAGAGAGAGATGTGTGGCAGTATGCCACTGGTGAAGAGACAGCCGTTTACACGCGGAGAGCTGAGTTAAGCAGGTGCTGCTGTTTCATTCACACACTTCCAAAAGCACTTGTGTTCACGTCCAGCTGGAATTGCTGTAATATAGCACCTTTACTTCCATCACTGCTACAACCATTAGAGGTAAGCTCTCTCTCTCTCTCTCTCTCT